TATATATATATATATATCATCTCTTCCATTCACGAACAAAAAAGCATTCGTTCGTTCTGCTCATTGTTTTGCATACAGTTTTCACGTAAAATTCAATTCGCTTCCTCACTCAGGAACAGATTCTCCAGGAAATACTTCCGAATATATGCATAGGTCATATGATACGGTCTACATGATCTTCTACACTGAAGGAACACAGTGTGAACAGGCAGACGATCGGCATGGGTGTTACATCACAGGGACAGTTCCCTTATAGATGAAATCTAGGCATGTTGATGACCACTGCTTTATTTTTGAAGTCATGAGCCAAATATGCGGTCTTTAGGCTAAACTTATATTTCCTAACATATTTCTCAGCATAGTGATGATGGTGCTGCTTTTTTTATGTTAAACAATCAGGAGGGTGTTTTCTTAGGTTATGTTGGCGGGATAAAAATTTTTCACATAATTTTCACTTTTGTAAACTACGAAAAGACATCCAGAATGCTCTTTTGAAATCGTAAGAGTCTATTCGCGACATGACTATCCTAAGTGGATGCTCAACACAATAATAATTCTGACATTTTGACACAACTGACCTCGTCTACAACTGGGCAAAAGGATACGTATATTTGCTAAAGATATTGCTGTGCAATGATATCAATAACAGAAAAAACAACGCTGACGATACATGGAAGGGTTTTCAGCTTTTTCTAAAGTAGCTGCGGCGATACGCACTGACCGGATGTCCTGTTCATAACGAAATGAATCCAAATGTCGTTTGCGAATCCGCTTGGAATGCGTTGATGCAGAACATTCTGAAGGATCACACACATCGTAGGAAGAGTCAACGGAAAACTAAAGTTTCCAAAATGAAAAATGAAGCTACCGAACTAATTACCCGATTAAGAACGAATTCAACTTGCAGCTTCATAGCTGAGCCAATTTAATTGCGAGAATACGGTTTTCAGGTGTTATTTATTCTGTTTTGCGATGCCCGAATTGAGTGAGTTCACAAGCTGGTTTTACAGTAGCATTAGTTGGTTGTATCGGTCGCCGACACCTACGAGAACTATTTGAACTGCTTCAATCACTCTGTCTGGGTGCACGTTCACAATGAGAACAACTACCGGTTCGTAGTAAGGGGTATGTGATTAATCAAACCTTCAGGCGGTCGGGAGCTGCCTCTGGCATCATACGATATCGCACCTGATTATAAAGCGGTTCTGCTTCGTTCCTCACAGCGTACATGACTAAAAATTGTGGTTGGTGACATATTCTAGATACTTCAGGACTTTCCAAAAGCAATCTAAGATTGTTCTCCGTCTCAAAACTAATTAATTAGCTCTCTCGATTGAGAAAATTGTCACCATCTTAGTCTCGAAATCATCAGTAGTGAAAGTAAACTAATGACCAACGTTTGATGTTGCAATATCCTCCAGTGGTTGCGCAAATGCACCGTCCAGGTTTCCTTGAACTCTAATGCGGTGAAAAATCACTATAGTTGGTCCGGAATTATGTCGCTTTCTGGAAACTGTAGTGGCTTCCAAGGCTTCTTTTTATCTTTTCAACAAATTTAAACTTGCGCTCTCAAATGCTGCCACTGGTGTAACAGTGGATACTACTGATGAGGCATGTGAGTAACATGCTTTATCGTAACTCCACTTTGCATCTATTGGAAAGTGGGATTTATTACGGAATTTGTGGAATTGTTTTGCAGCATTCATTTGCGCTTGACTCATAGCTAATGGATATTCAAGAAAGTTTAGGAAGACGCCTTTCAGAAGAAGACGGATATTCAGTTTTTATAAACAATATTCATATGAGAGATTTGCTTCCCCGTCCAATGGTCTGTAATTGCTCAGTTGTTTTTTTTAAGTTACCCCGCAGCAAAGGCCTCCCTTTTTTGGTGCCGTGACGTCGTATTCTTGCAACTGGAATGCTCATCGCGCGAGCTTTTCGCGAGGATCTCCGGTGGTCCTCCAGGAGTTTGTGATCGGTTTCGACATGAAATCTGTGTCCAGGCAAGTATGGCCTCCACTTATCCAGGGCCCAGACGATCGCTAAACATTCTTCCTCACTGTTCGAGTAATTCTGCTCCTAGAAAGTACAGCAGATGATCACATGAAAAACCTATACTTCACCTTGTGAAAATGGTAATACCCTCATACAATATTGAGGTTTCCTCATAGTATTTCCAGGAAACAGTAACACAGATACAGCTTACGCTAATGCCGGAACTGAATGAATGGGAGATAGAAGGAAAGAACAGAATAAACAAATGGCAGTTAGTTTCATGTTTTAGTCACTGCGGTTTACAAAATCGAGTGATACAGGTTCCACGACCTACACTAAGGTCAAACTCGTATGTGTGAAAGCTTTGCGCGGACGCATCTGTTTGGCATATAAAGTACGGTAACTCTAGGCCATCTTACCGCAATAATTTCAAGCATGATCGAGAACCACTTGTTTTGCACTGACAGTGGTGCCATCCTTAGACAACGTGACAGTTTTCCAAGTGCCAGCTTCTCTGAGTGACCCAGATCATTGAGATATTCGGATCACACGTTCGCAGCTAGACGTAACTTGAGGTACGTAAACCTGCCTCCTCCTAGCTGATATGTCTCATGTTTTGTATCTTATTCGTAGCGGTCCCGTCTATATTTGACTACTGCTTGTTGTGTATGAGCGTGGCTGGAAAAATTAATGACACAAGTACCACAACGAAGATAAACTCCTTCATGTGATCACCCGTGAGCAATCACCTTCAGTTGAAGTGGTTGCTGTTGCTATGCATATATTCATCAAAAGGAGCTCTTTGGGGTCGATGGGAGGTCTCGAACGCATCTCGGTCAGGGAGGATATACAAGGCTACAGCAGTACAAAACGAATTATTTCCTCCTTGTTTAACAAAATAACCGGCGATTTGTCACACAATGACCACAGTTTCCTAAATGTTCTCGGGGTAGCGCAGTGGTTCAGGCGGGAACTTACTGACCGGAAAGTCCGTGGTTCGAACTCAGCCTCTGCACCTCAACTTCTATATAGGCTTGGCCTCCGTAGCCTTATCTCAGACCGCGTGCCTCCTTCGGGTGGCACGGCAATTACGCACAGGAAGGATGTTACGACAGAACCGTTACATATCATCATACTTTATGATAGTATATGATGGCCTCTGAACAAAACTTAGCGAACTTGAGACTGTAGTGTCAAACATTTTAGTTCAAGATGCAGACGGATTGGTATTTTTAACCGATAGGCTTACGGATCTATAAACAAGACGATCCTTATTTTGGCAGCAGACTGCCGTTCATTGAATACGCTAAAAACAACAACACTAAACATATAACATAAAATACTAGTTCAGCCACAACACCCTTTTGGTGCTCAGCTGCCATGCTACCTGAGGGAAGCAGTAGGACCGATGTACCGGCGAGTTGATCAAGCCCACACAGGAGCAGTCGGCTAGCAGAGATTGGGTTCGAACCACGGACCTCCCGGTTAGTGAGTTCGCTCCTAAACCATTGAGCTATCTTGAGTCCTATAAACCAGCACTTCAGAACTGTCGCTGACCTTAAAGTGCTTCACAAAAGAATACCAGTGTTAGTGGTGTTATTAACTTGGTGTTGACGTGGTGTTACCAGGAGATTCAGCTGCATTTAGGCCGAATCCCTATTTTATAATGGCATTCAACTGAACGTTTAGTCTATTGTTTCAGTTGGGACGATACTCAAGTTAACAAGTTCAATCCCACACAAGCTTAACGGCATTCTTGCTTGGATTACGTGCATCCAACAAGTACTGGTGAAAACTAGAAGTATCGTTAAATAATTATGCACCATTACTTTACTCCTGAAGAACCAAAAGCATTATCATTGATAACGAATTGATTCGTCAAAGACCCGCACTAGATTCAAAATTTCCATCGACGAGATTCACGATCTCATTTTCAACGTTCCAGTAATTTTCAGCGTGCAACACATGTGCCGCTGTGCTCCCTGTGAATGATCACCAGTCCTTATAAAACTGGCAGTGTGAAGCCGATATTCAAGGAATGGACCGGACATCGCCGAGGCCAATCTCACTCAAACTCCTCGGCAGTATCTATCCACGGGAAATTCCAAAAAGGGAACAAAAGAGGGATCACAAATGAAGAACACAGTTTCCGTAGGTATGAGAAGCATGTCTGAGTGAAATCCCAAAACGGACACAGAATATCACTCAGTTCGGCCTTAATTGGATATTTGTCGCTATGGTGCCTCAACCTTTCTTCATACATTACCATCATCTAAGTTCCATTGGTTTCCCTCTATTCTCAGATACCGCATTCCGTCCTCAAGAAACTGTTTACTGCATAGACTGAACTTTTTACCAACAGTAATAAATATGACACGCATGGAGCCTCTCCTAGGTCTTCCACGCCCAGGTGACATGGTGCTTTTTCGAGTTTCTTAACGACAGACTGCAAAGCGTCTATGGATTAGTCACTTTGACTACCAGAACTTTGCCTGAAAAATCAAAGGCTGGAATACAAGGATAAGGTTTATACTAACGCATTAGCTGGATGTGGGTGTATTCCCATCGTCGAAGCCTGCCAGCTAGGTGATAAAACACCGGAAGCTAAAGTGATTGTGTGGTGATGTATTCTAGCAGTGCGGCAGAGTTTTACTTGTTGCCTAGCCTTTTTATTCCAAATATATATATTACGACTGTACTACAAGTTCCTCTTCAGACTATTGCTAAGCTTAATCAATTGATATTTCGTCCTGTCAGAGAAACCAATCTATGCTGGAAGATCAAGAAGCACTGTACAGCTGTTTCCTTCTCATTGAGGATCATCAGCACTGCGAATTTCAGGAAAATCCAAAGAGTCTCGAACTCACGATCTCCCTGTCAGTAGTTTGAACACAACCGTTCGGCGTCGAGCGGCTAATCAGCAGTCTGATTTATCTTCACTTTGACATGACATAGCGCCGCTGATCCTTCAGTCACGTGATCCGCATCACGCGACCACACACGCGGACTGGCTCCTCGGGTGACGACTTCTCATAGGGAAGTTTCGCTCATCGGGTGAATTTTATTCTTCCTGTGAGCTACCAATGGACAGATGGGAGTTTGCGCGTTTGAGACTCCATGGGTTTTCGTGAGATTCGGACTGCTGATGATCCCAAGTAATGATGGACCAGCTGTGCGGTGTTTCTCGGCTTTTCAGCATAGATTATCTTTACTTACAGGATGAAATCTCCGTTGAAATATGCATCAATAACCGTCAAAAGCCCATTAGAATATTCCAGTATGATACCTTCTTAGTACCATTCCATTTCTAGATCTCCAACTAAAATTTCTGCTGCTCTTCGACGGCACATTCCCATTTACCAGAGGCCAACGGTTAGTTTTTGACCGAGTGTACGCTGTCCCAAGTACTCCAGATGTCAGGATACGTTGTATCAATTGAGCGCAGGCCGCCGGGATAATAATCATCATTCATCGACAACCAGATTATCTCTTACCACACGGCAAATTCGCCGTCTAACAGACGGCTTTGCGTACACTGTGTTCCATAATTATCTGGTCATTACAGGTTTTTACTGCTCTAGCATCTCCCGCGTGGAGAAAGGTTGCCGACAAAGCTGGAAGTAGTAACCGACCATTTTGTCCGCCATTCGGAAGTGGTACACTTGCAGATGAATTGCTCGCCTACTCTAGCATCAATCGTCCCCGTGGGCATCGTATGAGTTAGCAAATTAGGCATCAACAGGAAACCCAAGTGAATCCACCTGGATTTCTCGTTTATTCAACTTACAGACCTGATTAACCTCAAAATGGGAGAAACCGGTAGTTGGCTATCAGAGGGATTTCCGCAAAGGTAGTGTGTACTGAACGTTCTTGTTCAGTAAGCACGAACACCACAACGCCGAGGTTAGTGGCCTACCGGCGCTAACTTTGATTACATTTTAATTGGCCTACCTCGTGGGTGAGCTTTGCTTGCATGGTAAAATCCATATTCACGATAAAAACGAAAGTAGTGAACAAAACTTGCTATCTTAAATTACTTCGCCTGACTAGTACGACAACAGTTTATGAAACCCAACAGAAATCACATGATCAGTTAGACAAATTCACGGGTACATGTGTGAAAGGGCAGAAGGGAACTCAAAGGTCAATGGGTCACGGAGTTAAATGAATTCCATCATTGTCAAGCATGTGGAGGACAATGGCATATTAGCCAACTTAAGTTCAAAGGTCGTATAAGCGATCATGGACAAAGAGCATCTCTTCAAAATGATATGGACAGTGCCCCTGAACCGATCAAAGCTGGAACGATTCAGGCTGTCATAGATTGCAGAAGCCATCAGAAGCCGGCTACGTAACCCACAACTCTGCGCCTAAAAGAAAATCCAGTGGCCTTAAGTTTGCCTATGAACAATTTTCTTCCACAAGCTTGTTTGCTGATGACAATTCATGTGACTTTGTGACCCGTTGACCTTGGAGTTCAGTTGTCCCCTTTAAAACATGCAACTGTGAATTAGTCTGACTATACACTTGACTTCCGTCGGGTTCAGCATAAGCAGGTGAGGTAGTGACCTGAAGGACCATTTACAGAAAACAAGTTCTGGCTACACTTCAGAAGGGCCTGGTAAACAAACTACCGACTGTTTACCAAGCCCTTCTGAAACGATGACTCTCAATCGGTTCCGTCGGGTTCAGCATAAGCAGGTGAGGTAGTGACCTGAAGGACCATTTACAGAAAACAAGTTCTGGCTACACTTCAGAAGGGCCTGGTAAACAAACTACCGACTGTTTACCAAGCCCTTCTGAAACGATGACTTCTCAATCGGTTCCAAAACTTTTGCCAATTAAATGGAGTTCTGGTTAGTTTTACCATGAATTTCACAGGTATCTTTACCCGTCATTTGGCCGAAAATCTTGAGGGCAATCAGTGAATAATCGTTGCGGTTGAAGGACGAATGGTGCACTTCTGACCACAGGTTGTAAACGAGTGGAGTGTTCACAACTCTCACAGGGAATCTGTAGTTTTGGTCCATTCTAAATACTGCAGGCTAGTAACTGTCAGCAAGTGTGAAGCAGCCGCGCAACTTTTCCAATTTGCAGCTCGGATCAGCTATATATATAGTATATATTTAGTGAAATACATAATTGAAATACCATGTTGAAATAGGTCCGTCGATAATCAGCTTGAACAATGGGTGGGTGGATAGAATGAAGTGTTTTCGCAAATTGACATTTCTCCAGCATCGAGTCTTTTAAACCGAGTTGAAACTTGGTACAGTCTCTTTAAGAGTAGAAAGATTTGCTCAAGCAGGAATCCCTAAGAATACGTGTTTCGGGAAAACGGATGTCTAGCCAGGTTTATCGAGGGACATGAAACCAAGGCCTCCAAAAACGATTGAATACCTGCGCCTACCTTTACACGTGAACCAACTGGTCAAGTGTTAACTAGAAAAACATAAAAACTCTTCGTGATCAGGTAACGTGTCCTTCATACATTGCCCGGCCAAGAAATGAAGGAGAGTGAGTGCCTTGTCAGACGACGTTGATCGGTGCATATCAATTTTCTTGGTCCCGTGAAGCCTGCCATATTGGCCAAGCAGCTGTCTACAACTACATTAATGTCTGAACAGCCAAGCTGAATCCTAGAATGGACGAAGTAGAGTTGACAGCTTGGCTTTATCCCATTTGTTGTACACCACGGCTTTAGAGGCCACCTACTAAAAATTTGCCGAAGTCTATCAGAATGGAGTTTGACAGTGGCACACGGACCCATCAGCCTGAATTTTATGTTGCAAATCAATTCGTACACGTGTTAGTGCTCATGCGGTAGACCAGACTTCATATGGTGATGTAATTCAAAATACACTTTTTATCCAATCACGAGTTGACCTTTGATGGATGAATTTTCCATGAGACGTACAAGTCATCGATTTAAGTATGTGCTACCTATAGGTCTGCCTGACGAAGGGATACCGGATAGCAATCGTTTACTTGATTTGTCTTCTGGATTCTGTTTGCAACACCGGGAGCGATAGTGTGAACTGAAGTGGTTACCGGAGCGCTGGTAACGGGCCTGTTCAATCGTTTCCTTTCGTACACACTATGTATTCTGTCGCGTAACAGTTGAGGGAATAGACCGGAGAGATCTGAGCACCGGCAGTCGATTTGTCCTTGAGAGATAGAGGAATCAGTTGAGTAGCTGAGAGGTGGTTTGACAGCATTGTTGGGACATGGAATGTAGAATCCGACTTAGCCAGTCTACCGTCATATAAACTTAGGTGTTGAAGGTTTAGTTCCATGTGTCTGTGACCAGTGAGAATGCTGTGAATGACTTTCGTTGATCGTTATCTTTTCGCATCTAGCAGGTGAAATTGGTCTTGATAAGTCGTATATCAGTATTCGATCCTGTAAAGGGACTGTGCTTTAACATGCGAGACGATTCACTAACCTTAGTAATTCATCAAAGTGCATTGGAGTATTCATACAACACACACTTCCGGATTGGTCGATAGAATCAAGCGTGATAAATGGACTCCTGGTTGTGGCTTGGAACAAATGTGGCGGTTCATACCTTAAAGTGTGGTCCACTGTGGTAGTTTTACTGCCTCGTGATCTGGTTTAGTAACCAGAGGCTTTAGTTGAGGACAATAATTGTACTTCTGAATACAGGATCCATGGTAGTACTCATCCAACATATTACCATTAGGTATGGGAACGAAATTACGTTTATGCCACATCGGCCGTTGGGAGGCGTCAGTCGGGGTTACCTCATTCCCCGAATGAAGCAAAACATGCAACTCCTGACGTCCGCCATCTTCCATTGTACTCTCATAATTCCCCTCTTGTCCAGCCGGATAATAGCCCTTCCGTAGATCCTAGCTGTAGGAACGATAGTCAGATACTCAGGATAGTGACGGATAGAACCCCACTACTCAGAACCCGTTTTTACTGCGGCCTTAAAAATTCAAACTGTTGAGCAGATTGGCCAAAAAGCCACTACTGTGCACATTCCAGAAACTTCATTGAGTTATCTATGCTGTACCTCTGATAGTAGAACAAAAATTCAAGTGCAGTATTTAGGCTCACGGCACACACAAAGTCTACCTAGACACAATCGACCACGAACTCTAGGTGATGATGCAGCCGCCACAATGGTTTGGGCCAGTGTTGGTATAGGCTTCAGTTCACACGCTCATGCTTCGTCACTCGACTGGATTGTTGCAAACACCCGCCTCTTCCCGTCAACTTCCTAAAGAACTCGCACGTCCAAATCCTGAATACTTTGTCTATATACCAACTAACCGCAGTTTGGATTCATTGGAATATGACCTTTATCGATAACTAACCAACCTTTTACACCGTGGAGAGTTCAACTGGTTTTAGTGCACAATTCATCAGAAGTGTGATTAATCTAAACAGGAAACACAGTGACGTTGGTGATCGCCTTTTTGCAACTGTGCTGAACACCAGCTGTTATTTGGCAGCACTGGATATAGGCGCAGTGCCTCGCAGCTACTGAGTAACTTTGAGGTCAAACTGATCAAAATAGCCATCAGCCACCGATCGTGCGGACTACATAGCTCAATTCAGATCACGCTCTCGTTCGATACCGATTTACATAAACGTTCTCCGGTATGCCGAGGAAACGAGTTCCTTAGCAGCAAAAAAGTGCGGTGAGCCAAAAGTTAAGGAAACATGTCAAAGCTTCTATATAATGCTTTATAGGTGCTTTATAAGGAAAAGATAACCACACCTACACATATCACTTGAAGCTCCATCTGTGAGGGGATAGTGAACTCTCCGGAAGCTTCTTCATAACTAGTGGAGCTCATCAGGACCGCCTTTTCCTCTCGTCCGCTTTTGTCATATACGTTACCACAGAGGGTCCACATGGAGGTAGTATGGATTTGGGTTTCCAAATCAGGTCCACAGAAATACTAATGGATATGGATTATGCGGATGACATCGCCGTTACTTTACGATCTTAATGCGCACAATCTAACCTGAACAGAGTACGAAAGAATGTCGCGTGTTTCAGCACGCAGCATGCATCCTCAAAGTTTTGTATGTCACTTCACGATTTCCTGTCAGTGTTTTTCTCTGAAACTCCAGAAGGATGGATTTGAGTCCTTTTATCACACACCTTGGCAGCTGAATAAACCCTGATCGGACTAAAACGGGTAAGGTAAATGAGCGCGCAGACGAGGCATCAGCATGCGTCAGAAACGAGTTTCGTTGAAGATAAGGGATCGTGCAAGGCAGCTGTAAGAACGGTTTTATCCTGTCATTTTAAAAGCTGATCTATCCGACCCGAGGGCGTTACACGTGCTCAAGCGTCCGAACATCGGAGTTTGCATAGATGACTACAGCGTGTACCGAATAAAACGGTGAGTACGCGGTAACGGACAAGTAAAACGTATCAAGTTAAGCTGGTTTGGGCTATACACTACAAATAACTAACTATCATTCACCAACGAAGGCGTTGCTTTCCGTCTGAAACTACTGTTGCATAAAAGGTTACGGGGAACGGGTCGAATTGGTAACGTGAAATGAAGGCGACAACAATCCCGAACCAAAAAGTCAACCAGTTGCTCGATTGATATTCACTTCAGACGAATCTGCTCATCAAGGAATATATGAAACAGGGATGAGGATGGGGGCATCACGGTCAGATGGTGCATAACTCCAACATAGAAACGGTCGTCCCAAGTAACCGCGTCATTTGTGCAAAACGGCATGTCTGTGAAATGGTCGGTTTTGTGAGATAACAGAAAATCAGTTAGGAGCGACTAGGCCGAAAGAGATCGCCCCGAAAAAAACTGATAAAATTCGGAGGGATTCCATAACATCAGACCTAAACAGAAGCGTCGAAACCATGCGATTACATTGGGAACATCAGCCGGGATAGCAGAAATACAAATAGAATCATGGTGTCTTAGACTCTCTGCGTTTGGCAGTGTGAAGTGAAGAAGGTCGTAGGCTTGCCGGCTGGAGTGAGGACATAGATGGCAAAGCATCTTCGGCAGTGTAGATGCGTAAAGGCTGTTCGTAATCAGACCTGGTGGCACCAATAGAGTACATGTTGCCATAGCTTGAGGAGGTGGGAAGGGTGCCGCTGGTAGACGGTAAATGCGGACCATAAGATATTGGCGTATCGGGGTCGAAAGATGATTCCATTTTTGCTTGGTGTGTATGAGATCTGATTAAGGAACGAGAAACAAACAATGAGGGCAGAGAAACAGCTAGGTGGCAATATTATTACCAGTGAGTTTGACGGATTACTCTGAGTACGACTGAATAGTTAGTAGGGTACTGGCACAATGTAGATGCGGGTACATCTACTTGCGAGCGTAAAACGTTTGGACCACCAAGGTAGTCAAAGTAAAATGTCACTAAGTATATGAGTATACGGGGTAGGTCAACACTAGGCTTCGAAAGCCAGAATAATTGGATGGATGTGCTCGCCCAGTGCGGTGAAACATACGATGCGCATACGAGCGAGCATGCTACAACCACTCCAATAGTGTATGTTGGATGCAACTGAACAAACCAACGTGTTCACGACTGAGCGGTGTGGTTGGTCTGCCTGGCACCTCGGACGACAACGACACCAGTGTCCCCACTGTGTAGGTGGATTGGTACATCTATCAGGACTGCTATCAGAAAGCAACCACTGAATGCCCGAAATCTACTGGGAGCCTCAGCTCCGCAGATGCTGATCTGCCTGGCACCTCGGACGACAACGACACCAGTGTCCCCACTGTGTAGGTGGATTGGTACATCTATCAGGACTGCTATCAGAAAGCAACCACTGAATGCCCGAAATCTACTGGGAGCCTCAGCTCCGCTAGATGCTGATCAGACAGGCAACGCCCCCTCACTATGCAGCGCTTCACATACTTGTATCAAACTCAGACAGCGAGTCGGCGTTGATCAAGGTCAGGTAACGCCCCCGCAATATGCAGTGCGTCATAGCCTCGTACCAAAGCCAGACCGCGTGCGTCAGCACTGGACTAAGTTCAGACAGTGTCCCTCCAATAAATACCTTGAGACCGTCGTACTTTCGAACTCGCACGCACTCACGCTCTCGCACTCGCTTGTTCGGAATATAGATATTGTGTTCCCTTCTGTGAGTCTTTTTTCCGGCACTAGGCACTAAAGCGGGTCAGCAGCTAGATACGACAGATTGGCGAATCAGCGGCGCTCAGTATTCGTATAATGTAGTTGAATTTTCGAAAGCTATGACGTGTCCCTGATGGACTAAAGCAATCGGACAATTGAGTTCAGAGTACCAGTCAAAACTTCTGCTTAGGCATCCCGGGGTCTTACCGATGCTGGGAAATTACTTCACCAGAGGTATGTTTACTTCACTGAACAATGAAATTTAGTATGCTGCAAAAATATAAACGTAGATTAGGATGGTTTTTGGTTTGAGCACATGTACAACAAAATGCGATATTTTGGCGCAAAAAGTTTTACTCCACTCGTAAAGGTTTTGCAGATGAGATAATCGTGCGACTAACGGGCACTCGAATCAGCAGATATAACAACTATCTGCTGAGGTAGCGCCACGGACGCATGGAACTCGCTGGACTGAGATTCGATTTGTGGAATTCACAGTAACACCATTCTCGTTTGGACAGTCCTCCTCCAGGCACGGCCGGAGATATGCACTAAGCACATTAATAGGGGAAAACTCGGATCCGGCGCCACTTCTTTTTTGTGCAGAATAACCAAAAACAGGAAGAATGTCCAAATGAGTAATGTGAGTGCGAATTGTGGAAACGCCGTAACCACACGATACGTACGATGTATTGTGCGGAGGCGCATTACCTCAGATAAGTGACACAGAAGTTTCGCATCAATCAGTCTCTACATGGTAGTAAAGGGAGCATCACCGTCTACCAAGGAGTGTAAAGGTTTTTGGAGCGACCCACCTAGAACCACAAAGCAAAGCATGAGTTTAGACGTCTCCTCAAACCAACTATTTATCGTGACATCATATGCAATAATAACGTGATACCGGTCTTCCAATGACAAAAATTGTTAATGGTCTGCTAGTCTGATACAACACCAGATTAGTTTTCCAAGGAAGGGAACAAAAACAGAAAAACTTCGGTAAAGTTTACGTGAAAACACGGGAGGTTTGTTAGGAATAGTTAGAAAGGAGAAGCGTATGAACTAGCATAGAAGAGAATTTAATCAGTATCTGTATACAAGGCTCTGTTCAAATCATACTAGGTGACCTTTCCCTTGGATTTTCATAAGCATCCACACATTCGACTATCAAACTATCATGGGGAAAATCGTAGTGATATCTGGGCAGTCTATCAGGCTACTCACGACACAAGACCAAGTGTAAAACGGGGGAACGTTCTTATTCACAATGTAACTCCTCCTGTCCCGATATGATTATTTATGGGTCACTGGGATTGCACGTCCGGATCGCTAACATATCGTGTGACGTGTGGTTAAACTGTGTTTGTTCTCTTCTCTCGTAGTAGATGCATTTTCATTGCTTAATTTTCCGCATTCCTCGGGATAGACTGTCGTCCAACTGTCTGGTGACCGAGATATATTGCAAGTGTATCAGGGCTTCAAAAAAGGTTGGCAAGCAAAATGCTGTTCTTGTTCTCTTTGACCCCTCCTGTTTGATGTCTCTTTTTCAGCTGCTGCTCATTTGACCTGACATTTGCTGAAGCTATGTAATCCCCAGCCTTGTTGTCCAGACTTAGGAACGTACAGGTGAGAAAATGTCGTTAGTGCCAACTGTGCCTTATGTGGAAAGGCGTGCCATGTAATGTCCATCTGTTTGCTGGAATCAACCCGAATGAATTAGACTTAATTTGATATGAGTTGACTTGAAATGAGAGTGAAAATCAATCCTACAACATAATGGGCTACAAACCAAGAAAGGACAACATTCACGCCCATCGGAGCTCTGCTTGCATTATGTTTAGACGAACATGAGTTAGGGTGTACTGAGAAGCGGCTTTTGTGGTAACGGAGAATCAGGATATGCAAAAATAAACGAAATGCATGAGTATCTTAAGACGGGAACACGATTGTGGGAAACACAGAACAAACACCCATACCGATTTGAGCCATCATTGAAGTTCACTGTCAAACATGCGCGGTCTACGCATGACCAATAAAACTAAACGCATGGATTCAATACTGCTAAAAAGTTGGTGAAAAACTACTACAGAAATCCCGAGTTCCCATCAACCTTACTTCCAGATTGGAAGCTTGATTAGACATATGGAAAACTGAATAGTGACTTGCAAAGAAAAATGGCAATAAAGGGAGACCTGATCGAATCTCGTTTAGGGCATTTATTAGGCCGATTTTCAAGCTGTCGAGACACTTCCCGTTGATATAACACTGGTTACTAGAAAAAACATAAACGAAACATTTATTCCAGTGTTCCGTTGGTACTAACTTGATTGGGAAAACTACATGCGGACTGCCCAAGACCGAACGACCATATTTCCATAAAAACACCCACACAAACCCATATAAACACTTATGGGAAGTGATATCTCAATTAGTCGCACAGTCATACGAAGATACTAGATGAGTCATCAATGATTCAGCTTGAAACCGACGATTCGCTCTCCCTTTTCGACGTACACAAAGACAATGTCCCCAAATTATGGACAAAGATGGAGCGAATGTACCCGATAGATCGACACAGGTGACCGTCGTATCCCTCAGCTGATTCTATCCAGTTTCGGCCCTAGCTTCCGGTAAGGAGTAATAAATGGTTGTTCGTTACTCGATCCAATCGGTTGAAATTTGTGCGGTAACGGCCGTTATTCTGGAAATTTTCTTTAGTTTGTCATATATACATCGAAAGGCAACGTGAATGGTTTTCTGAACCATTGCAACCGATTGGTAGAGAGGAGCTTTGTAGATGTACAACAGAGTGGCTCACGACACGTTGAGAAGAGATGTCCACCCATCACCCAACCATTTCATTGTCATTTCCTTTTTACGTAATAATAATAATAATAATAATAATATCGAAAAGCGTAAAAATGATGCAAAAAACCCACTTTTGTGGATCAGACGGACCAGTGGGGCTACCAGTGCTATGCCCAGAATAAACTTCTTCGGAGTCCCTGAAGGAAAGATGTGGAATAGAAGTTATACATTACTTTGGGAAACTTTAAATGGGGTCAGGGAATTAGTGATCACAGATGAATCATAGTTTAAGTAACCGGGCTATTGTCTCTGATAATGAGCTTCGATGAACGAAATAGTATCCTGTGTGCGAGAATTTCAACTCTGATGAGTGGAGGAAGAAAGTAGCGTTGACCTTTGCTGAGTGATGTTTACTCCATAACCCTCTAGTGAATAAGTGTAAAATTTGGAACCAAAGTACTTTGTTTGCGTTCGACATGAAAGTGAAGGTATGACATGCATAGTATTGACGTGAGACATTTACCCCCCTCTGGGAAGAAGAGATCATCTGTGATTGCTTACTAGAAGTAGTCTCGCCTGAGATAACCGTTGAAGAACAATTTCAGTGACCGGACTACTCACTTGAAATAAACAACCTGACCGTTGTTCGGAACTGGTGACAGGAGAGCATTGTATGATGCGCACGAATGCCAGATCAAAGCGGAGCTGTCAGTAGACCAGTCATACATGCTCCACAGTTGAGTGACTCCGGGGAAGTTACACTAGAATTGAAAAATAAAGACAGTTATACGTATGCACCTCAAGAACAACAAGTAACTCTGACATGCGTTACACAAGATGGAAATAGTCGAGACCGACCAATGAGGAATATTGTCCTAGTCAAGAAGAACGTGGTAACCTCAAAAACATTTGCTATTTTTTCTTTATGGATTATTCCGGGTCACCAAAATCGTAATTTTCTCAACTGTTTTCATACAGTAGGGCAAATGACCATGGAAAAACAACAGACCATTTTTGACAAGACAGTGTTCGTTTTTTGTCCAGCATAATCAAACAACCATTCATTCACTCATTAATCGGAAAATATTTGCGCCAACCAGCAACCGATAGGCTGAGCTTTTCCCAGTTTGAGCAACAAGAGAATCGTATTTCCAGAACGGCTTCTGAGATTAGCGACACCATGATTCCGACCAAAGTTTATTAATAATCAAATGCCGATGTTAGTCTATCGCTCTGCTTATTCAGTCTAGCAATTGATCGCTCGACTGTCGCTGTGTCATACGTGATGGACCCGCAGGTTCTTACTGGCAAGCGTGAGGTCACACTGATGAGCAGCAAGCGGTTATAAGCAGAAATCATGCCTACGCCTCCAGTCACTGTTTTGACAGTTCCACAGTCAATGAAAACTGTTGAGCATGAAAAATACATAAGAAAGGGAAACGTTACAGCGGATTTGGTGTGCACCACATATCAAATGCTTTATTCTCTTGATTGCATTTAGTGAATAAGGTCTACAGTCGTAATAATAACAAATGACGTCAGTTTTTTTGCCATCCTGCTGATAGACATCTGCGTCTCTCGCAAGTATATAGAGGCAGTTTGTATTGAATCCTTATAGATGTTTTCCGTAGGCTGGTGGCGCAACTCGATAAAAAGTTCCTGAATAGTTTTCTGGATAACCGCACCAACAGAAATTCCTTACAACAGATCCATGTATTCAGTGCCGACATAAGAGTGTTCTTACAAAGTCATCGCCCATCATCTGCTGGCACGGCGACAACCTTATTTGCGAAGGACGCTGTCAACGTCTATTCCGCACCTCCATTTGTTTTGCTCATCCGTCAACCTCATTTATAGGTTTCGGTGTGTGGCGTGATGTTTTAAAACGAGACGAACACTTATACAAAAAACGCTTCTGTGATAGGTGTTTATGCAAGACTTCCCTAAGAATTCCCTTGCGATATGGATGGAGTACCTCCACTAGCGTGGTTCGGTATTCTAGGATGTATTAAAATAAAGGATGTCGTCGCTGTGAGGATTATAACCACAGACGACTAGAAGGATAGGATTCATCACGTTTCAACCTTGTATTAAACTGCTTGATTAAAGTTTCTTATGTGCAACGATGAATTCCGGTCATGGGACCATTGAAACAATGCCTGTGGACCAAGACATGACTTCCACTTACGATGGTGCCCATTCGTGTGGAGTGAATGGCAATCTCCCGATCGATCGCTTCAGTCATCCATACCGGGAAGAGTGAGAAACTAACGCAAACACGCGGATGACAGGTAAGATAAAGTGTCGTTGGATTCGTCTAGTAAAGCTATTAAGCGAAAGCCGTGTAGGAAATATAACTATTCTACCGAAACAAACTTGTGACCAAGCTATTAAGCGAAAGCCGTGTAGGAAATATAACTATTCTACCGAAACAACAGCAACTTGTGACCCAATCGACGGTTGGAAGTTGGCGTAAATATTATTTGAAACCAAACATACAAATGGTTGCACCAGTATGCACAGAAAAACGAAAGTTAATTAGAAACATCCTTGCATCATCAAGGTCAAAAACAATCTCATTAAAATTCTACGTGTTGCTTTCGGTGTTATAAGATGATGAGCTGACATCAGTATGTAGCCATCAGGGAACCCAGTAAAAGTTGACGGAACAAAAGGACGCCATAATTAAACAACGAGTTGGCCAGATAGTCGTTTCGACTTTGATCTTTCAACGTGAGTCATCATGGTGTGCTGTTTAGTGACTTTCCATGATTTAGTGGGATCAACTTTTTGATCAACCAGCTTTGGCCCAAATGAACAGAGCGGTTAGCACACTGAACCGAGACGACAGGTGATTGACACGACGCCAGTTACGCTTAGTAACAGCACATGAAGAAACCTCGTGGTACACACCACGTCGTCTGGTTATTTGTTGACAATCGGTATAGCAATGATGCTGCGGATATTCGTCAAAGTGGGATTGCGAGGCATTAAGAAAGTTTCAACCACCGCAGGGCAACAGGTAAGACGTAACTTATGGTGCGTCGTCGATGCAAGAGACTTGATCCGTGTATAACGGAAAGAAAAGTCTGGGATAACTAGGTTTTTCAACAACAGCGCCGACAATGAAGACAGCATGCTGAAGAGAGCCTTCTAGTGGCCTAAAGAAGTCGATATGGCCAGCTGGGATGTACGGATGTGCTGCGGAACGCCGGGTATGCAAATGAATAGTAAGCTGTTCATAACGATTCTGACGTATAGCCTGAACAGCGAAATTTATTAGCGCTTATATTCCCTAACCACGTAGTGGGGACGGCCAAGAAAACAGATTCAAACACGAAGACGCAATAATCGGCCCAGCGTGTTGCGCTACACACCTATGGGAATAATCTTGGGTACGTGCTGCCCACAGTTGAAAACCGCATTGCAACCTCAGCGTAGTCATGAAGAAAAACAGTCCACGTACAAGTGGCATGAACAAAAAAGCGTCCAGAGCTGGGCTCGAAGCATAAGCCATGGGCGATTGAAGCATATTGGAAAACAAAAATCGACTGAAACGCTTACTGAACATCACCATTCAGTAAGTTATTACATTGAAGAGGTGTTGTACTTCCAAGAAGGATGTTCTACTATGTTTACTTGTCTAGAAAATACTACAGACGAATCCTAAAGTCGTATACTGTCGCATTGCGGGCCTCATAGTTTGCAATATAGGTTCTCGTCCGTCACGAGGAGCAGACGCGGGACATAAGGTTTTTTATTGAGGGTTTAATACCGGAAATAGTTGACAGACATCAGTCGCACATAATAGTCCTATTTGGACGACCCTCTCCATGAAATGAAATGACAACTCGGGTTAGTCTACATCAAAACGAAGAAGTACTGGATTTGAGTCTCGCCCTCATTACAGTTCACCGGCAGTCCACATTCTTAGTTGGAATTTAAACTAGGGACATCTGAAATGCAAGATCAGTAATATAACAGCGCATGTAAGATTATCAAATCCGAATAGGTGAGGATAATCACTGGAGCATTGTTGTTGGTTTGTCTTTCGCGGGTAGTGATGATCAAACAGAACATTCCGGTGGAAATCCAGTGGGCCATCATAATTGGGATGACTTTGGAGACTATGAGTTACATTTAGCGGCTCTCACATTTACAAAGCATTTCACCCAGCAATGACCGCGAAGATATTTGTCAGAAAGTGAAGGAACTTACACGGGCGATGGACAGCCTATCTGCCGGTAGGCCCGACTGTTTTGTCATCCAACTCACGATGACTTCCCACCGAGTGGGACGATCGGCTGAAGCTGGTATGATCACTTCATGCCAGTGAGCGTCGAATGACATTGTTGACGGATACCAGCGACGCGCAAACACAAAACCAGCTGATGCTGACGGAGGTGAGATCCGACTTTTCGTCACAATCTCCTGATCGCTGAGGTTTGATCTATCAATCTCAGTGGGATCCGTAGGCATGAACTGTACCATTAGCCCTTGGTGTGGGTTATAGAAGGTGGAGAACACGTCACCGGGACTGAGCATGGGACCAGGGGTCGGTTCAATTGAACCGCACTTTCGCAAACGCAGTCTGGAGAGAATTGGAAAAGATTACAGAATCCTGACGCAATCAATACACAAAGAGGGCGGTATATCAAACGAACTATCAGAGCAGCACAATGAAGGGAGTAAAACTGGTGAGCGGCACAGAGTCAAAGAACACCCACGAGAATGTAATAAAAGCCAACTCACCTAGAAACGGGAAGATCAAGATGGTGAACTGTCCGGAGGAGTATGGCAACAGAAGCGAGGATTCGGTCGACAGTCCAACTTGCTCGACAGAACAGTGATATACGATCATCCCACACAGGTGATAATCGGGTTTCGATTGAACTAGAGTGGTCTGTACTGCTCGCAGACTTCAAACCCATGAGGTCCAAAACCCGTAGACTGAGCTTCTTCACGTCTTTGTCGAAGGCGCATTCGATCGCTACTCGCAGCTACACAGGACAAAACAAGGTAAATCAGGATGGTTACGCCACCTTGCCGCCGGCCAGCAAGAACCTCACAGGAGTTACGAGATACCTTACACATTGCTGAGTGACTGCTGCATTAACGGTTTCAATGACGTATTCACTGGCTACACAAACTATGGCATGTATACTAATCAAGTAAAACATCCAGAGGTTACTAATAATATCATACGCAGCTAAGAGATGGGAAACGAAGCTGCAGGCCTCAGGTGAACTTGCTTAACCGCATATTGCAGATAGCAGCTTTATGCCCCGAAAACAAAATGCGTCGGTGTGGTCTCTACATAACTTTCACTAAGGACCAGGTAGGCAGAAGAGCAAGGAAGCACTACACACCTTTGGTTGGTCATCGAAATAGGAACTTTGACCAAAGCCCACTCATAACGGTAACTACAGTATGTCTAACCGCGTCTGCGAGAAAACATCGTTTTTTAACCGAAACGGGGTCCCATGAAAGAAAACGCACGTTTTTTCAGCTGCGATTCTTGAGCAACATGAATCCCAGGACCTCACTGCCCTCATGCTCCCATCGTATAGGGCAAAGCGATTTTTCCCACAGGCTGTTTCGTAATACGATTACTCTTAGTATGGGGACTTGGTGCCCTGGTTGCTCACACTGGGCAATCCTGACATGGTTTAACGTTGAGGAGAAAAGTTTCGACCAGATTGGCCATCAATGAAAACGACTTCAATATGTAGAAATTGCTGGGGAAGAAACACATCCATGTTGACAGGATAAGCTAAATACCGTCTTGATTTTCAATGTCGTGCATTCTACAAACACTTGGTTGAAGACACGGGTATATGTAAAACCGGTAGTAGATCTTGTGTGGTGCCGTGCATCCCATCAACGGCGGACTTCCTTAAAGTGGATGGTACTGATTTCCGTCATTTGATTCATGTTTGGTCGTTTGGCTCTGAAAATGATTTTGCCAACTCCAAATCGAAGTAAGTTCATCGTCGTGTTTACGGAGAGATTCAGCGATGTAGGCATATATCTGCCAGTAGTTCGCGCAAAGTAAGACATATCACATCCTTCAAAAGTGACCGCTGACGGAACTAGCCGACAGAGTGTAAATCGGGACCGGTTTGTTAATCTTAATATCCCAGCATAGCACTGTATAGTTTGAAAGGGTGAACAGTGTATGTGGCTACGTGAGGGCAACAAGACGGACAATACCTAACCAGATAGGCGGACAAAATACGATCATTGAGTGGATTCGTGTGAAACCACCAAAGGGAATATAAATAGGAAATGAGCGATAAGTAGTTCGAAGATAATCACACTAAGAGTTGAGTGAACCATGGAAACAAAGTCGGGACATAGAATGGGTTGACGTACCGTATCTGTGGCAGTAACTTGTCCCAGGTCACCGGAGAGGTTCCGTTGGTTTACAGACAATTGAATCTGAAAAGCGGAATATGCGAGAGGGCAAAACTGAGGCGAACACGTTCATTAAGATGGAGCAGTTAGCCAACAGTCATGGAAGACGGGCTATTGTGGCATTGTTGGTCAACTTTCTCATATATCCAGCTCTGCGATGTCACTGCACACAGATTGACCGATCCATTGAGGCATGCTGCGTACAGCTCTGGGCATACATTGGACATGCACCGGAATCGACTGAATGATAGAGTGTAAAGTCGGTAGCATACGAAAGTCTGTTGGTTTTCCAGGAAGGTGATTAGCGCAGCATCCGTCCGCGCTTTTCTGTCACGCAACAAAGGAGAGTTTGAGCCTAGGTCGCATAAATGTGATATCTGTACCTCCTACGTTTCAGGAAGTCAAACTTCTATCATATACAATCTTCCGTTGATGAAGTCCATGGTGCTTGGAGCATAATGCATCTTGGGTTAGAGGCAGCGCGATCGTCATTGGAGTAATAATTTATGTTTTTTGGGGTGCGGGAAAAGTGGTGTTAGCGGCGAACAGATTTCCGACAGCAAATTTCGCGAAAATGTCAACATTTTTCTCGGCGTTAGCCAAATTCAAACCGGCTGAGTGTACAGCTAGTACAGGTGAAAAGGACTAGTCTCAACATCGACACATTAGGCACAGGCAAACACAAGCCGTTTACCACTGGTATACATACAAGAGCGGATTCAAGCAACCTAAACTTATGTCTGGTCATTAACTTCATTTGACTTCCTGCTTGAAAAACTTCTGCAACCTTATCACAAGAAAACACTTGCAATTTTAACTTACGGAACATGAAGTGTACCAAGGCATAGACGTAATGCACTACTCATAAGGTTGCTGAAAACTCTTCGACAGCCTGCGACCGGTTACGCTCTTCTTTGGGCTCATCAGGTAGGCACAGTCCAAGGCATGTCCATCATATGATTCAGTCGGTCCTTCTGACCCAGCCTAACTGCACATTTCAATCAAGACTCCGTCAAGCAACTGTAATCACTGCACCTTACCAACTGAGGTCATATAGGAGGTAGATACCAAACTATTATGGTTCAAGGTAACATGTAGGTGTATTAATCATTCCTGCGTAAAACTGGCCGAACTGCTACTGAAATCGCTTGACGGGAGATGGGGAATCTTTTTTGAAAAAGCGCTCACGTGAGAGGACCCGGAAGCACAACACGCCTCGAGAAGACAGCTGAGTTACTCAGCCCCAATCAGCTCAATTCGGCTGGTACTAATGTCCAGATAATTAACCAACATAGTATCGAAGCACATCTAGGTCTTAACTATTAGGTGTTTTGCTGCGTTGGATAGAAACTACAATCGACTCGCACTACGAGATAGAGAGCAGCAACTCTGGCAGACTGAGGCAAATAGTGGGCATAATTTGGTATGCGCCGAAACTCATTTGAAAATACAAGTTGTTTGATATAGCGGCAAAACATTTGGTTAAGTAGACAGTGGTAGTAAGTAAGCAAATGAAGCAAACGTTGGTGAACCTGTAGCAACACGAAAGTCAATTTTATGCGTATACAAACAAAGGATGGTCTACGTGCACTTTTGGTAGACTGTGCATGAGTAACCGATGCTAGCAGACAGTCAGTTTGGGTTTCAGTACTACTGTTGTTAAACGAATCAACGAAAACTCATTAAATGGTTGAAAGTCAATAGTTTTAAATAGAACAATCAAAACTACCCTACCTTTACACGATCCAGTTCCAAATTCAGGTGGTTGGCTAAACAGCATATAAACTGTTCAACACTCATGCGCTTATCAAAGCGCACGCGAAGGGATTGCATGGCATCACTGGTTGAAGACGGTGATAAGGAATCCATCGAAGCAGGTTCGAAGATACAAAGCCTTGGAGAAACGCAGAAGTAGAAACATAAACTCCATGCATTTACTCCATCAGGGGAGTAAGGGAAAGTGGGACACAGGACATAACAAGCACCGTTATACATGGCTATGCAATGGTACAGTGGTGGTTCCTGCAAAAAATGTTCATGGGTTGGACTTCGTGCCCTAGATAAGATCCACTCATGTACTACTCATCCTCTACGTTACGCACCTGGCTCTTATAGTGTTGGGAGTTGAGTTTGTCAAATACAGACTATCCGGTCATAAGAGTGTGGTTAATTATGGCCAACTGGGATCAGCGGGATTTCTCCACGATCTTGAGCGTCAATTCACTATAAGCAGCGCACTATTGGTGAAACAAAGTAACAAATCAATGAAAGAGAAACGCTATCAACAAGTAACAGCTTAAGGAAGAAAGCGACAGCAGCTGTAGGTGTGCTAAGACCGGGCAAAAACAAGTGAGGTGCCAACTTCTCGTGATGCTGTTAGCCGTCACTGGCACTGCTCGCTCAATTGTCCACTAAATGTTAGTAGGATGGACACGCAGATATCAGTCCATTGGAATCAACGTTTAGCCATCCTATACACATAAACATTTGTTTATATCAAATATACATCTAATCATATATTTGCGTGACACACGGTCACAACATCAGATGAAGCGCCAATACGAAGTGCTAGATTGTTCACACGGCAATGAAATGTGTCCGCCGTGTTATTTAGGACCACCCAGCTCATTATAGTTTGAGCCGATTGTGTTAAATACTGAACGTAATTCTGGTCCCAGTGTCCCATTCCACGCGACAACAGGCGTACGCTTGCCAGGACTACTTTCGATTCCAAATAATGGGAGAATTACCTCACAGGTTTCAAAGAGTCTGTCAACCACTGTTTGTTTACAGATAGACTGTTTGTTAGCACACCAGATGCGTCTGCTGTGTCAACAGACATTGCCCTCTCTCCTTGTAAGGGTAGGTTTGTGTAGGACGAGGAGAGTGATCGCCGTTGCAGGCGCTGTTCATCTGTCTTCAGCTGATCCAAATGTGACTGAGAGTTGGTTCGCCGTCGACACAATGGACGGGGGGAGCCAAACGGAGAAGCCGATTGTTCCGAACTGCCACAATGTGCTGCCACCGAACAACCAGAATCCGTCGAACTGACGTTGCTAGCCGTTGTAGATACTTGGTAACCCCCTGTCCCGCAGTGTTTGTTTTTTACTGTGAAGAGATGAAGAATAAAATTACAGCTGTAGAGGACTGATGCAACATAAGCCATTCGCCCAATAAAAGCCACTGATCATCAGTAACATCTCAGGATTCAGTTGGATAAACAAACGATGAAGTGTAAAAACGAGCAAGTACAAAGTTTTTATGAGAACGACCAACAGTATGGGAATCACGCTTGTCTTCTGAAAGCGTCATCCTTCATCGCAAGATGGGAGAGGACGGTGATAAGGCGAAAACTGACCACAGTAGACACTCAGCCTGGGAAGATTTCACTACTAAAGTAGGTCAGTTCTATCGCACTCAATGCCATCGGGAGCTCTAAAGGTGCAGCAGAATTCTCTCGCTGTAATTTTTTTGTAACGATGGTTCTCTAGGGAGACTTTTCACGATGCAACTCGCGCCCCCACAACCTTAGCCACTAAAACCATATGACTCCTCTCCTACATTCCATCATAAGGGTTCTGAGTACGGCAATCTCTTGTCCTGTATAAGTTTTGGGGTAAAAGCGAAAATTGGATCCGTCTGGATCACGGTAGAACACCTCATTGAAGGCCAAATAACTTTTCATAGACATTTCTCTACGAACAACAGAGTAACGAAATCCTCTAAAACACTGATATGCTATTGGAACCCAATGGACGCTGCCCTGAACTGTTCGTCCAGAGCACGTCACTGGGTTTCCGGGATTCCTGGCATTTTATCAAACTGGTAACCAAGGATCCAATATTATGTCTTTAAACGGTCTCCACACTGCACGTGCCAGAACGAAGAAGACGAGCGGGGTAGGCATATATTCCAGTGAGATGGATATAGACCGCGTGGCCATCTGTAAAGCAGTTCCCGGAAACCTTCACGGCGGACGAATGGCAGCGGTAAGCGTTTAACCCACGTTTCCTGCTTATTGATCGTTATATCTCCGATGCACCAGGTAGATGTTTTGGTGATTTATTGTCTCTGTATTCGGAGGCAAACTCTCAAAAGCATACAGACCCATAATTTGTGACAACTGGCTCTACTACTGGTTCGAACCCGATCTCCGCCTCTCGACTTTCCCTGTCTGGGTTTGGGCAACCTGGCAGTAGCCCAGCCCTCGTGTGGCATGGCAGCTAGGCACCGAAAGTTTGCTACAGCTAGCTACCGCCTAACACCATGTTACCGGATAACCCCAATTTACCCGTACACAACATCCGCAGTGAAACCGATGCACTATGGTTAAACTCTGTAACAGCATATTCGACTACCACGTGTATAAAGGTTCATGAGTGAACGATAAACATGAATGGAGTAAGCTGGTTCACGTGGCTATAGTTTGGTGTGTACCGTGTGATGCTCAATATACGATCAAGTTCCGGTAACCATGCTTATGAAGTTCAGAATGGTACGAATATCACCTAACTCTAGATTTAGGTGGGAATTCTCCATGGTTCAAGGGAAGCCAAAATATCGATTACACCTGGATCGACTGCAAGGCCTTCGATCGCGTTAAAGCATCAGTAACAGTCAATTTAAATGTTATGCAGTTTCAGATGTCGACAACGCTTGGTTTCTAGGAAAATACCCAACTATAAAGAAACTTCTTTCAACTGAGATTTCATATCCAAATACCCATAGCCCATATACAGAAACTGAGATGGATGTTGTATGCTTTCAGAGTTGTCTCGCCCTCAGGCTTATGTGTCTTATGGCCGGTATTGACTGGTGAAGAATGCAACACTGGTTGGAGGGAATGTTCAATACTGCCATTGAAAAGAACATAGTGATTGAATGGACGAATCCACCTTCACAGTACGACAACAAGCGGACGTCACAACACTTGAAGATTTATCAACGACCTAGACTAAACCAACACAATCCTACATAAGGCAGGATTGATGGATCCCACGCAAAACCACCTAAGCTGAACCAGATGTAGGACGCGATCAAAGAAGTGGTAATCGTTGTCCCAAAACCGGAGGTAATACCTGCCTTTAGTTCCAGGAGTTGGATGTCACACGAAGTGAATTCGACTGACTCGCTACACTGTGCGTAGTTCGACAAAACCACCCCTGTTTATTTTTATCTCGTAGTTTTGCCTTTCATGGGCCAACTGAACCCACCAGAACTACCATCAGGTAAATGAAAAATCTGTCACTGTGGTCGTTCATTCAATTTTGAATGTCAATTAGCTATAGATTCACTATAGTTTCTCAGACTTTGCAATTCACTCAACAAACGCAGAAAGAATTCCGAAGGACGAAAGTTCAAACGGACGTGAAGATTGATGATGCAGTGAGTTACGGCAGTTAGGCACCAGTATGTGTTTCTGGTGTATTGCTCACAATGACGATGACGCTGATGATGCACTCAACATGGATGGACTAGATTATGCATCATCTTCAGTGGTAAAACCGTCTACACATCGCGCGGTGGTAATAGCTGTCGGTTTCGTACACCGATGATTTGGGGAGGTGCGGAGGCGGTAGTTGATATGACTGATGCGTGAATACGTTAACGGTGGACTTTACATTGGAGATTGGGGGGAGAGGAGCTATGCATTGAAGGCGACAGCATTGATGCACGATTGCTATGGACAGCCCGACTGGGCCATGTCAGATAGCGTCTTTAAACATTGGTGAGTCTTTTATCGGAGGCCCATCCAGGGAGACGGCAATGACGAGTGCAGCTGAAGTTGCTGGCAATGGCTTCCATACTTCGCTGCTAAGTAACTGTTTGACCTCTCCTGGCTCGTTTCCACCTTCTGCGTGGTTGCTCGAAAAAGACTCTCTAAGGAATTCGATCGACTGGTGCATGGAGCTCCAGACAAACCAAGTGCGTGTGATCAGTTAAACTATCGTCGGAGAGTTATATCCTTCGGGACTTAGAGAATTCAGCATTATTAATCTAATATTCTCACCAGACTTGGGTGTTGGGTTCCGGGCTCGGGCCTATACAAAAGTGCATCAGCATACTACACTGTGCAGGCGTGGAGCATACATCATGATTGCATCAATGAAGGGGTTAAGAAGGAAGGCTGAAAGATGGCAGCACTGCCTGACACCATTCGAAGCATGGAACACAGATGGGATCTTATTGCGGAAATTCAGGGGTCCATGGGGGTCGGCATACAAGCACTTTCCGTGCGGCCAAGAATCTATGGAGGACACCGTATCGGACAGGTCCAGTAGACAGCAACGAAGGGAGAATGTTTTCCAACGGGGATAAGAAATTTCATATGGATGATGCAGAGAAACCAATGGACTATGGAGACGACCTCGGAGAACAAAAAAAATTGGCGAAGCATGATCAAGGCGGTAACCTCTCCCCAATTAGGATTGCAATATCTGCACATGGGGGATCAGTTAGCCAGATCAGATGGGGAGCGAAGTGGTAGATCCTTAGGGCTACAGGCTGTTTCTAATACCCAAACCCAAGATCCGGGTAAAAAACACGTAATCCCGAAAGGCAACCGTATACTCTACCTAGCTGATTAAATCATGGATTTATCTTCAGAATGTTCAAGCACTGAGATAGTAATCTCACGGCCCGATCTTACGCAGCTGATTGTTTGTCATACTGGGAAACCAAGGCAGTATTGCATCCCATATAATTCACAGGCTTGCCAAGGTAAGCATTAAAGTTTTCGTTCAGTTGAAAAGAATGACGCTGAAATGAAGAATGGAAGCAGCTTGCCGATTACAGCTCGGGCGTGTCTTTCCGTCTATACTGTGTGAACTTCGGCTTTTAATAAAGGTCAGTGTTGTTTTTTAAAACATTTTTATGGATTTGTAAGGAACTTGCACCACCAAGGCATATTATGTGGCGTAACTAGAGTTCGTTGCCTCTTGTATCAACACCCAGCAACTTTCGCCAATAATATTTACTTCACAGACGAAGCGTGCGTAGTAAAGAGCCGAGACATCACAAGAAAATATGGTGGCTCCAAAAAGATCTCGGAAGCAATGTCATAATCAATATCAATCACAATCCAGACAAGACAAGGTATTTCTCTAATAAAAAAGGCTGAAACCTATTATTGGAACTGCCTTGCTAGTGTGGTTGAAGAACCTATGGTGATCAGAACAGACATGTTCAAAAGACTGTGTACACGAGTTTGCCAACTGAGGGACACATTCAGACATGAAAACAACAACCGATCAATACAAAAAAAGCCACTAATTCAGTGACATGATTAAAAAGCCATCTTCTTCAAAAAAACGAGTGACCCTGTGATTGCTTCGCGCCGCCACAACAGAGTAATAGCTTCAACATTAGACATGGTAGGACCTTCACCTCGCAATTTCACCCTGCAAGTTGAGCCAGTATATTCTGGGAAACCATGCTCTTTCATCCTTACAGACTAAACTTTTGGTTGGTAGTTGATCACTATAGCGTTAGGTCACGAGTGGCTGATCAATCGTAGCTCCACAAACTTGATAAATTAAATAAATCAGATGGTCGATTCAAACACCGCAGTTGGCCACCTATGTGAACGCGCTTGGAACAACCAAAATATGAGCGCGGACACAAAGGTTGTTGCGCGGCCTTCACTTATGTATAACAGCGAAGAATGACCGCACTTCCGAGAGATACATTAAAACGCTTGGGGAGGTTTCGCTTACAGTGCCTGAGTAGGACCCTGCTAATTCAATAGTCACATTGAACATCGAGTGAAAATTAACGCACAACCCGCTGCGCTGGTTAGGTCACGTAAATAAGGATGATCAGTAACCCCGTTCCGAAACAGCTTATGGTCATTTAGGGAATGGAGCAACAACGGCCGAACTTTCGTTGTTGGGACTATTTGGAAACTGCTTTGAAAACTAGCTACCGTTTCCAATCTATGGATCTAGCCGTCCGACGAACTACCTTAAAAGCCACTGTTATGATAAGTTATTAAGAGTGAGTGGTTAACCGCCTAAATTGAAAAAAAGGTAAATGACGCCAGCACTTTTGGGTGCTGTAGGTGCACTTTAGGTGCCCATTGTTATGCCATCATACATAGGCCGGGTGGTGGTTATCGATGGACTTCCATGTGCTTGTTAGGCCTGTCTTATTCTCCCGGTGCTCATATTAGTATCATTGGATTGCAAATAGCAGCCGATTTGGGTAGTAGTGTAACAACTTTGCACGGTTGTCTAGTGGCTGAGCCACTGATCAGTGGCAGATCGGTTTTGAGGCAATCCTATTCAACAAGCCCATATGTAATAGAAGAGGAGACTAAATAAACAGTAGAACGCAGTGGGAATATAAAGTGAGCTGAGCACCTCCGTTGATAGTTAGGGCCCTGCACCACGTAGAAAAATGTTGCGAGCCAAACATTTTTATCAGCTCTTGGACGGGGTCAACTAATTGATGAAAATCATGGAATCGGCGTCTTCTAACTCGGCACCATAACATTCTTAGACTCTCTGGTGGCTTCCTCCAGTTCATCTCTAGTGTGCAAAATAACGCACGTTGAGGCAAGTGACTGGTAGCCATACGGAGATCATAATGCAACCATTGAAGCGAAGACTATAATCGTTATGCTACGAGTGTGTCGGATAAACTGGTCAGAAACACGTGCGTAACTCAGTAGTCACGAAGATATTCAGTTAGTACGTACGAAAATGAAAGTAACAACAGCATGATTCACAAAATTACTCACGCAACAAATCTGACCATGCAGCCGGGTTTGTGAGTTCAGCTAACGTGGTGTGACACTCTTCTGCAGTGGACTCATCGCCACCAGTAACTGGGGAGGATGTGGGTAGGCAGTCGTCCAAATCCATTGGTACAGAGCCCGAATAGAGGAGCTGCCACTGAACTAGCGCTAATTCAACTGAAAGTTCAACAAAAAGCGGATATGAGATGGCATGAAAGCCATTAAGCTGCAACGATGTATTCTGTAGAATTACTACGGATGCATATATATATATATACATATATATATATATACATATACGTATATATAAATAATCACATCACTAGCTGTGGGGCGGTCCATATCCCAATCGGATACACCCAGAGTACGACGACCCTACTTGAGAATACCTTATTTCTAGAAAGTTCACGAGAAGTTTATCCTGTCTGACTAGTTGTGGGACGAGTTAGCTCCATCACCCTCAGTTCTGTAATCAGGTACGTTCCATCTTGAACATTGGAACACTGTCAGTAAAATACCATCCGCAAGATGCCAGTGACAATTCGAATGTGTAGAATCCGTTAAGGCACCAACGACTGAGGCGGGTTTCATCCAATGACAGTTATCGGCAGCACACTGTCAGCAAACATGGCGAGAAGTTGAAGCAATTCCTTCTACCGTTATGTCACTAGCTAATGAAGGGGAATGATGATTGATTACACTACCTCAATCAATCGTAACACAACGTATGGCTTCCGTATTGAGAGGGAGACGACGACGAAACACAAAATCAAGAAAAGCTACAAAAAATTTGGTGAATGCCACGGGTGATTCTTCGGTTCCAGGAAGATAGTTCAGTTAATGACAACGGTGACTTAAATACCACCTTTAAATAGTCCCACACTGATCTATAACTCATTTTTATCCCGATTTGATGGAACAGGAAATTCATTAACTGTTCTAGAACCAATGAGCATGTTTAAAAATGGAGATAATGTTGTCAAATCAGCCCTCCATTCTACTGACAATGGACCGAATTGGTACTACGGGCTCAAATAAGGATAATCCTTAGAAACGCAAACATATGGTTAAATTCTTCCACAAATGGACTAGCAAATTCAGTTGTTGTCATGATTATTCTTTGTGCTCACATTATCGTTTTGTATTAACCATGCTTTCGCCTTCATTTTCAGCTAATGTATGTCTATTCTTAGACAAGTAAAGCGCTATTCATTCTTGTTCTCGCGCCCAATCAGAATCGATATTCTATTCGTAACATTTGTCAGATAAAAATAGAGACCTGGTCAATACCTCCCAACGAGGAGCTCACTTTCAGACTCATTCAGACTAGGTCCATATTGGATAGGCAGTTTATTAAATATCACAAGTTAATGGGACACTTAGTTCAAGTGAGAAATGGATTTTTCAAGGGGTCTTCAGGGAAGACTGAAGAGTTCGCGGCCTCCTGAACTTAGAGATGTCTCCGGGTATCCATATAGGCACCCCCTATCGAGGGACGTTAGTGATGATTAAAAGAGGACCAGCAAAGGTTTGGGGGGAATTCCGCTAAGCCTGGGTTTTGAGATGTACCACAAGCTGCTGTGTTATTACCTGGACGAGAATGACCTCCGAAGGTCACAGGTTATCCACACGGTCACTGGGCTTCATGTGACAGAAATCAATTAGTTGCACTCAAACTCCGCCGGTGTGTTACGCTTTATTCTGAATCAATATTTAGACTAAGAAGTATGGGATATTGTTTACTTTGGAAAGAGCGCCAGAAATCTTTCACTTACTTTCACTTTGGGTCGGATACTGCAGAGGAACTTCTATGACAAACAGATGTTCATCAACAATTTTCGCGAGGTGATGCAGGCGGTGGGAATCAGTTCGTGGGTCAAGTGACTCTGGCACACCGGATTGCCAGCGACCACGCTTGGCATCACTGTCGATGGACAACCTGTCCTCATTTGAACACTGGCCAGACAAGTTGTCGAATTCAGGACCTAAATCTACGTAAACGCGAGCAGTTTCGCCCTTTTGATAATTGTAGCTGTTGGACAAATCCACAATGCTTTCAGTGAAGAGAGAAGCCAACTTTGTATTGTGATGGACATCAGAAGATAGCAGGAAAGCCCATTCTGGGAAACCCTGTTGAATCCACCGGTCTCGTGAGCCATGACAGGACTGATCAGCGATGAGTTGGAACTGAGCACTCCAACAAGGACGACAAGATGAGATTTCGTCTCCACTGTCGTTTGGTAAAACTGTGGCACGAGGACCTGTGAAAAGCTGGTGTTGAAAAAGGGTTAATGAAATATCTGCGTTTCAACCGTTTGTGCGCAGTGCGAAAAATTCCATGCATTTCGTAAAGACAAGTCCTCATTTTCGTCGACAGCATAAATCCGTGAATGACTTTTACCATTCTACTCTTCAACACGTCGTGTCTCATTTACTCATCACCGTTTCAAATACTTTTACCCTTTATAAGCCCGTTTGGAGAAACGTAGGTTTCCGCTTGCTTTATCATATGCTAACCAGGGCGTAAAGCTAGAGGCAGCTATGGGAAAGATGGGCAAACATCGGTCGGTAGACTCGCATAATCCAGCAACAGAAGTGAGGATTTTTAGGGGGCTCTTACTCAAGGGTCAATCCGAACAAGTTATGCATGGGCTTCGCGAAGTAGCTAAGGATTTTTCGAATTACTGCATACTGAATACCGCTGAAAAATAATTCTCGCGAATGGATAGTCTATGGGTCTGCAAGGCATAGACTTTCTTACGGCTATCTCCTGCGGTAGTAGTTGGCTCCAGAAACGTCTCAGATACACGCAGCTCAGGTACGGAAATTGACAATTGAACGCACACGAATTACAACCCACTGTAAGCTCCAGTGGCGAACTCCGTAGACTACGTGGAGACTGGCTTACTCCGTGTCACTCTCAACAGTACTGAGCCAGGATTTCATTTGTTCTCCAAGCTGATAACATCAAGCTTGGCATGTAATGGGGGGCGTTTGTTCGGTGATACCATCATCGTTCATCTGCAGGCGTCCAAACTAGTGCAGACAGCATTGTTGAAGGAGGTGACATAGGCGTGGTAGACACATAAATGTTTTCAGATCTCATCAGTGGACACTTTCTCTAGCTAGCGAACTCACACCATACGTCGGAGATGCCAGTTGTCAGGAGCATTTCGGATATCCTATGTTCGTGGAGGCCATGGTTCGCCGGTATAAATCGGGACCGGATGAACGGTTGTGTTGAAGACACGGACTTTCTTTCGTAAACTAATCTCGCTTCGTTTAAAAAAACAGCCCAGCTATATGAAGAATTGTCAGGCATTGTCGATACACCTTTGGAATTCTTTGTTGACAGGGTTAACAGGCATCTATATAAGACAAGAATTAGACCTTTGAAATGTTGATTTCCAACCGTAAGTGCTGCGTATTGAGTTAGATTATTTAGCACACGTTGAAGGTTTTCCAAGTTATCACCCAAAAGAGAGTTATGAATGCTAAGACCCTTCATTCACCCCATACAACAAGTAATTTTGAGGCCGAAAGTCTAAAATGACGCGTATGAGACGAAAATTGCTAGTCACAAATACAGGAAGTGAATTTCATATCTGGCGCCAGGTCCGACCAGTATGAAATGTAAACTCTCCTGGTTAACAGACTGCCCAACCGCCGGAACGTATAAAAATCAACAACTGTCTTTTGGGATGAGGAAACTGCTTCTTTAGGTATCCAGTCCATGAGACGTCGTTGTACATAGTCTAGTTGGTCTACAGAGGCTTGTTGTACAGTTTTCAATCAATCAATTAGTCGTTTCACTGAGCTCATTGGGCAGCTGAGTTTTTACAGCCGTTAGCGCACAACTTGGTGGTTGTCGTGTCGGAAACTGCCTGTCGGCTCTTTCGGAGGCTGAATAGGGCTTTGTACGCGGATCAGAATATAGTTTATTTGGGGATTCTTGTGATGGCCAATTGAATGCCATGTCAGTAAGTGTCTTCCGGGATGCTGAAAGAGGATATAGCTAACAAATACCTAAAGCAGGCAAAGTTTACGAGTTTGACAACATTTTTACAGCACCGACCCAATCCAGATCGGTCAACTGCTTAGCGTAGGTTGTACTTCGTCTATCAACTCGAACATTCCAACTACCCGCTACTACCGACAGGTTTCGCTTTTAGGCCTTTTTGAGCACCTGATGCGGTTGTTCATAGAACTTCTTTATGCTTTAGTCTGATACAGACGTGGGGGCGAAAAAGGTATCACATTCAATTTCACGGGGGTTCCTTGAAACGAGCCAATGTAAGCCTTAGATATACTGGATTCCGGGCGATAAATGCATGGCTGGCGCGGCAGTAGCGATACTATGAGTGCCTGAGTTTTCCAATGGTCGCTGTGATAAAGCCAGTGAAAGGTGTCTAATCCGAGAACCTGGATTTGTCGCGCATCAGAGCTAGCTTTGGTGAGCGACAGCTGACATATGATTGATAGTTATAAAGACTGCAGTACTTTGGTTGGATGTGTCAAGTAGGTCACCGATGGATGCATCGTTTTCCAAACATGCTGTAGTGTAGACGAAATTACGTGATGGAGCCAGTATCATTGAAATTTCATGGAGATATGTTACGGGTTGTGTCCCAAGCGTCACCCGGCTTTTGATCGTGGGTGCACGTCTAGTCTGTGTACAACTCAGTGCAACCTGCAAGGCAGCAGGAAACATGTGGAGAACAGGTGATCGGATCCGCAGCATGTCCGTTAGATTCACGTGACCAGGTAAGAGTACCCTAAATGTGACATTCACCCAATAAGTGATTACTGCTTTATGATGCATGTTCAATTGGCCCAACAAAAATCACAGCGGAATGTACCGTCAGTGAATGAAGAGGCGATTCACAATAAATTGCTTAAGGCCAGTGGGGTTGAACAACGAAAGGGATTTAAAGCTGTTGCAAGGTCATACCAAATGGCACACTGTAGATGTTTCGCAATAGAACGCAAATAGAACGCCGCTCGTCATATGAACAGAATCTCTCTTCGGTACGTTTATCCAAGGTGAGATGCCTCAAAGAAGGCTGGTGCGTTCTACCGTAGTAGTGACCACTGGCATCCAGTCCTCTAGTGAGGACAAATAGGACTATGAACAAAATATCTATTCCACAAGACCTCAAAACTGCAAACAAATAGAAGAGTACCCGTGTTCGAAAACACAGAGTCGAATCATAATGCCCTAATAAGACAGTTGTCATGAGGAATATTTCTAAGTACTAAGTATTTCTAAGTGAACCGAACCAATATCGACATCCGAATTCTTGGGTCCTTGCGACATCAGACTATAAAACCTAGCATAAGGTATCAGCTCCTCCGAGAATTTGGGACATTGAATTCCACATCCGGTGTTTGATGGTCCGAGTTCCAGGTTGGTAAATGCGACTGCCCAAATTGTGTGAAAAACCCATGAGTTGGTGCTGCGTCTCCCAAGTCGATTGATTGTGTCCGCTGTACACGAGGGAACTGCCAACACAAAACGTAATACCTAAAATGCTGCTCACGTTGCATCCACGCACAACCAGCTTGCACCTATGCTGTCTATGACACGCATCACTCCACGAAAATCTCAGCTTATTATTGCAAGGACACAGGGTTTTGTCGAGTTACAAACAACAATGTTTGCCACTCTCTGTATGTTCCAATGATTGTTCAGGTATATCCGTTCGCAATAGGTCCACTATCTGATCTACCCTGCGGCATTTGCGACCGTTTGGCCTTTGTTTATGGCATTGACCAAGCAGGGCATTCAATAATCAAGACCCGAGTTTACCTTCACTAAAAGCTTTAGTTCACTGGTTGATTGGTTGATTCCAAATCCGAAGCACTAGCGATCTACAGTGTTGCCAGCCTGTTAAACACTGGCCTAACTTTAGACTCTGTGTGGCCTGGCAACCCCATACCAAATACATGTCTCAGTTTGTCAAACATATATCAGCAATCTATCTATCTATCTATATCTATCTATATCTATATCTTCTATATCTACTATATCTCTATCTATCTATCTATCTATCTATCTATCTATCTATCTATCTATCTATCTATCTATCTATCTATCTATCTATCTATCTATCTATCTATCTATCTATCTATCTATCTATCTATCTATCTATCTATCTATCTATCTATCTATCTATCTATCTATCTATCTATCTATCTATCTATCTATCTATCTATCTATCTATCTATCTATCTATCTATCTATCTATCTATCTATCTATCTATCTATCTATCTATCTATCTATCTATCTATCTATCTATCTATCTATCTATCTATCTATCTATCTATCTATCTATCTATCTATCTATCTAGCTTTATCTGGAAGCAGGCTATAATGGGCAAGGGAGAGGAGTATACGAGCAGACCTTACCTGCCAGGTTTCGTTCATCAGTTCCGCAACGGTTGCCATGGAGGAAAACCATAGCTTGAGCGGTGAATATACCAATCGCTGACCTATATCGACTCTGGACAATTGAATGGTAAGTCCTGTATCAGGGCAGAACAGCAAATATCTGACGTAAGGGGGCGAATGGCACTCAAGTGCTGAGTCGAACGCTTCAAACAGCTTAGATGAAATATCGAAGCAATTATTTCCTTTGTAGGGACCGCCTAGAGGGATTAACCATAGGTAATGTTTTCTAAGGTGGTCTCCTCTGAGAGAGAACTTACCACAAAAATGAAGGAGGTATGAAAAATTGTCTACTGAGCTATACTACTTTACACTCCTTAATTGATGGAGGCCCTGGAACCTTAAATTCAGTGTGTTGATTCCGGGAGACATAGACGAATAGCCGCACTTGATGCCACCTTCGGCTCTGAACCTAACACTAAGCTGAAAAGACAGAGGCCGACAACACAAACTGGAATATCAAACCAGCTATCAACTGGCAAGCCGCAATGTTTCAACAGTGTTTCACAATTCGCTGGACAGCAGTCGAAACTACGAACCTCGAGAACTACTAGTTGAAAAGCACCTGGTTCTATTTTTCCCTATCTAGTGTGCATCGCATTATGATTTAATTTACAGCAGTACGGTTTACCAAAGGGGTGTGCTACGCACGAAGTGATGATAATGAGAATGGGCGCTTTTGAAGGTTAATCTCGGTGGAGTATAGTGTAACATACTACAACACTAATACGCTGTGCTTTATCACGCCATATGATGCTTAACTATACAACTGTGATGTTCCAAGATTTGATCGTAGTAGAGGACAAGGGACAGAATTTTCAGATCAGTAGATTAGCCATGAACAGGCATACCATTGCACACATACCATAACCGCACTTTTGTTCAGTTGAGGAGCTACCCAAGTAACCACTCAATAGGACGTTAGGAAACTGACAGTGAACATTGAAAAGAAACATATAAAGGTTGGTATGCTCACCTTTTGGTTCATAGGCTTTCCACGATACTACGGCATTTGATCCGTTTGAATTGGTCGCACCAGGAACATTGAGACAATGTTCTAGCCACAACTTAAAAGGATAAAGTCGTTTGTTCTCGGCAAATTCGCCCACAGTAACAAGGCTAGCCGCGTCATTTTCGATTGCATTCGGTTCGCTGGTACAAACTTCAAATGGCGATGGTTGAGCAGAATCGGTCTGTAGGGGAAAACAAGTTCAACATTGCATCGAGGGTTAGTAACTACGGCTGAGAAGGGAAACCTAATGCAAGAAAACGTGTCAGAGGGACAAACAATAACTTGCTTGATGGGTTGTTTCGGATGAGTTTCCATTGCTGAGTGATTCCGTGTTGCTGGCTGGTCGATGCCACAATGTGTACTCGGCAGATTTTCCGAGGGAATCCGTGGATGCGTTATATTGGACGAGACGGCAATGAGGCGGGCGTAGGGAAGTGCAATCTGGGAGTAATGCCTAGAAAGTGACATTAATAGTTCGAAGAATTAAGCGCCATATACTGTGTTAAGTCATCCTTAGCTTGCAACCCCGTTACTTGAGAATGAGAAAATCGATTACTACTTCACTAACTGCTCTGATTGTTGGACGAGTCAAGCTCGATAGACATTAGAGTCTATAGCACACTGAAAACGCTCTGGTGCTTCATTCTGCGTTGTTGGTTGGTGGAAAATGATCCAAGAGATGCATAGAATGTAAAGTGCTGTTAAGCACACGGTCTTTGAAACCCAGTTGTTGCTCAAGAAAGCCGCGACGACACCTTACTAACCATAGGTTTTATGAAGTCTGTGAGGCTCCACGGATGATGTGCAAAGGCCAGTTACAGCTGAGACATCCCATTATCCACATACAAACATGAAAAACAGGAGTATCTATTTGACATCGCAAAACACCTGTTGCGTTACATCATCGAGTCTTTAGTTAAATAATTACGATAAGAGGCCAGGTACGGTTCAAAGAGTGGCTTACACTTACCACCCAAGATAAGTTCGAGTCAAAAGTTTTGCTTTATAAGCAGAGTATGTGCTTGTAGAATATTGTGCTTAGCACCAGCACATGTGTCAAAAAACGAGCGTAACTGAGATGACAGTGAATTACGGTGAAAAAAAACTGAATTTTCTGCACTGAAAGTAAGTTGGGGTAAGCATACTGAAGACGAGTTCATACGATACATGTATCAAATAAAAAAGACAGGTTAGTATTAGATGACTGATGCAAATTGGAATGGTCATTAGCTACACAGGGACCCACCTGGCGCACAATATCTGCTGCTTCAGCCATGGTTTGGTCTTTATACAAGTTGACAACAGCTTGAACCGTTTGTTGCGTAGCTGGACAACGTGTAAATGCTTCAAACTGTAAAGGGAAAGCGAGAATATCAGCGGTAAAATGGAGTGATCGGTCTGGAGCATTTTCAAATGCGATGAACTGTAAGTGACAGCATAGCGAGAAGGTAGTCCTGAATAGTGAGGCGATCACTAGTGGTCCAAATGCCGTTATGGTTGGATTCGGTCAATCGGCTTGAGGCCTTCGGGTGAAAGCGGTCATACATCTCAATCATGCACTAAGATCGCTTCCAAAGTCGGCTTGTGTATCTGACTAGTCCGCTTCAGCGCAATTTTCCAGAGGATATACTGTCACAACCTCAGTAATTACCTTCCCGCAGATTACGGTACTTTCACGTTTTAGACGGAAAAGAATCAAAATACTCAGCCGTATCGCCTTCATAGTGCACAGCTGCTATGAAGCCCAAAGGAAACACAGAGGGTAGGATACTGTTATTTGTTCTAGCATACACAGCGAAAGAGATGTTAAGGGTAAGTCCGAACCAAAGCAGTTCGCGCCTTGACGTCCCAGCTATCTCAAGCTCAGTAGCAGCTACCCGCAAATTTCAGTTCATCAAAGCAGATGAATAGAGGAACAATGGGTAGTAACACAAATCGAAGCAACACGGATATCGAGGCGTACATCTCCGGATGGAAAGCTCTACAATTCCACTTTATTTACAGTATGAGAGGATTCAAACACTTCAATACGGACTTTCGTCCCGTAAATGAAGTCATGGTATACTGAAAAGCCGAGAGGTACCATGCAATTGCTCCATTCTTCCAAGGAATCATCAACAGTGTATATCCGATAAATCTCCAGGAAGATTCGAACTCGCAACCTTCTAATTAGTATGGGAAGACTAAACCGTTCCTATTCTTGTCGAATGATTGTGCCTCACTCTGGCGGCTACATTGGATGGGAAAAACACTGCTGGGAAATATAGTGCCGAGGCACTAGTGGAAGGCACAAGGTACAGGAATCCAATCCGAACGACTTGTATACAGCATTGGTTGCAAACAGAAATACACAACGGTAAATCACTATATCCATTACTATATCTGTTAAGAGGATTTCAAATAAAGAACAGCTTTGCCTGCTATCGCGTGGTGGCAATGGACGTATAGCATTGGGCTAACAAGAACGAAAGCGAATTTCGATCAGCGCCTTCAAAAAACGGTATCAGTACGACTAAAGATGATGGAAAATTCGCGAGTCCTGAAGCCAACAGTAAAATTACCGCCAAGCAAACAAGGGTTCGAAAAAACTCACTTTGCACACAGACAGTTCTAGTTCACGCCTCCGTTGTGATTCGGCTTCTTCTTGTCTAACTGCTTCCAGCTATATTGGGGAAAATGTAGGCGAAACGTCAGAAGTGCGAAACGATGTGAAAATGGAATGCGGTCACGTGTAGTGGCTTTGAGACCCTACACCACCCCCACCCAGAAAAAACGCGACATCATCCACTTAATCGATTGGATTTACATACAAAAACGTCATAAGGTTGCCCCGTAAGCCACAAGTGGAATATTGAACAAACTCCGTGAACAGTTAACCAGATTTACGCCTAAGTGATCACTTACCATTTCACAGATGTGCTGAGGAAACTTTTCTGGAGGAAGAAATCCCTCATTTACAGCAGGGTCAACACGCCGGTACATCAGAAAGTAGGCGTTCGCTCGGCTAGTATATGCCTGACTTGAACCGAAGGTTTCTTCAAGATCTGAGCGATCAGCACGGGAAACCGTCTTGTCGTTGAAACAGTACCACTGATTATCAGTAAACGACCTAGTGTCGTTGGAAAAAGATAACAGTAGAAGAATGAACAACTGTATAAAAAAATGACTTGAAAACTTATGGCAACGTTGTCAATAACGACCGGGGTTGACTCACTTGATATAAGCATAGTAATGTCCACCATTTATGAAACCGGAGTGCACCATGATAGAAAAAAGTTCGTAAACTGACGAGGGTTTTTGAAGCTCATGACGAGCAGAAAGTTCATGAGCCAACGATTTTCGATCCTTTGTAGGTGTAGGCTCATCAGTTCCTGCCCATCTCCCGGAGTTTGATTTGTGTCTACTTCTAGCTTGAATCGGATAGCCCAGTTTAGCATCGTCTGCAGATTTTACGTGGCTGCCGTTTACAGAAGACGAGTTGGTGGTCGAAGAACAGGCGGAGCGCGCATCACCAGTTCCAAACCCGTCGTCTTCATCAGTATCCACGGAATGATCGGTTTGAATTCCGTTCAGACTAGGATGGTTACGAACAGCTGAACCGATAGCACGTTCGAAGGCTAAGCCAGATGGTAAACTGGCCGTGATTGTGCGGTTTTCACCATTCGGTTGAGGGAAATCCAAGATAGGCTCCTCGTTGTTTGAAGACTCCCCAGTGGGACTTCCGGAGAATCCGGCGTCACACGGGCTGTTTGGGACCAAACATCGAAGGCGATGAACTAATGTTGATGTTGTGTTTGCTCAAAAACGCATAAGTTGAAGATAGCTATTTATTTGTTTCAGACTCTAAATCTCGAGAGAAACAAGGGTTTTCTGAATTTGAATGCCTATACGACGGCATGCCGCTATAGACTGACAATGGTGTCGATCCCTGATTTCCGTCACTAACCTAACTCGGGTATTTAAAAACTGCTGTACAGTCCACATGAAAGGCCTGTAGTTTCCTGATCAAACTGAGATTGTTGTTGACTGTCGCAGACAGAGTACTTTATTTGGGAGTAAGGCGGTTTAAGTTATTTGAATACCATACGAACAATGGGTCGTTCACTAAGACATGGCGGGATACGAAAAATGGCTAGGTATCATAAGCGTCAGGAAAATATGCCGTCCACCGAACGGCTAAGACACACCACCATCCTCAAGACAAGTCAGCAATGCGGACAACGAGAACTAAGTGGATTTTCAGACTGCAAACAAGAATAGACCTGACGAAGTCAGAAGACATACGTAGTCACTACCAAGGATTTCGGAAAGCATACATATTTTGACAGAGTAAAAATGTGTCCACATAATACCTGTCAGTGGTTGAGCTGTTGACCCCGCTATCCCCATTCCCAATGTCCATTTCTTCGAATTCGTCCTCTACCCGATGCACGTGACGATCATTAGTCAGCCTTCCGTTCGAACTTGCCGCTCCACTGGCTACTTCGTATTCGTTTTCGGTCTCTATATAGTCGGTGCCATCCTCTGTGCCACAATCATCGAGGGATTCCTCATCTTCATAGCTAGCATGGTCCTGTGGGGCAGCCGTGATAAATTCTGATAAATCCCATCGGTCTAAAGGAAAGGTGAAACGATCATTGATTTTGATTCGGTTCATTGTAGTCAAATCAAAGGTGAAGCGCATCAGTTGTAATGTCAGCAAATAGGGCATTCGGTGAAATGCAGCAACCCGTTCGGCATCACGTTTGGTTTGACATCGAGAACAATAGTATTGATTGGACCCATCGAGGCGTTCCGGCTTGATAAGCGCGCGAAAAGCAGTTTCCTGAGTAAAACAACCATACAAGGGTGTAAACAAAATACCGGCATTTTTTCTTATTTTGGATGCAACAGATATACGGACATAATAAAAAGTGGTTTTCTTTAATCGCAGAGGTGAAAATTAATAACTGGGCAGCAAAAATAAGTCAACCTGTCAATATGCCTACTTAACAAAGAGAAGTTACTCAACTTTTGTCAGCTGGAACATAAACGGAGGTATGCGCAACCATCTGACAAAGATGGTTGTATTAGTGAACTGAATATGTAACAGGGTCCTAAACTGGAGAAAGGAGGAGACGAACAGGAAGAAGCCTCTCCAGAGAGTGTATAGCACACAGGTCCGATGAACATGGCAAATGGTGAACTAACTGGAACGAAAAGGTTTTGGAGACTAAAGCATCGGTGGTGAAGCAAGACCTCGCAAAGCATATTTTACACCATTGTATGGCTTATCGAAGTTGCACAAACCAGGCACTTCCCTTAAACTCATACTACCAGTGATGGTTGCGTCAACTGGCCTGAATGACTCCTCACCCACCAGGAGGTATCTTTGCCACCACAACCTGGAGGATAGTTTTAGATTCATTGAGCAGACAAAAGAAACTAGTAAGCACCTTGCCTCTTATGATGTAAAACCTCCTGTTATGTCTGTGCCACTTGAAAAAAATTGACTTGCATGCCACCAATCCATTTCTCATTGCTGTTCCCGGAGATGAATTGCGCATTCCGTTATTCTGTATTCATGTGAAGTTTACGTTTGACAGCAACCTATACAATCAGGTGGCGGGCACCATTCAGACGTTAGTCGTTTTACATAGTGGATACCAGGCAGGGGTGACAAATCAGTAATATGAGTTGATACGTTTCGTATGCAGATGGCAGAATTGCCATATGCGGTGATGCCAAAAACACTGAAACACGTTACACCTAAAAGTCAAAGTTACCACCAAAAACGGACGAGAGAGTAAACTTGCGTCCCTTGATGCGTTGGTCAGAGAAGCGACCGGACCCACCAGCTAAAAATGCCGTGAAACTATGTTTCGGAGTGTTGCTCTTATCCAAAAACTCATGTATAAACCTACCCTAATAGGGAACAATGGATTTGATCCGAGAATACTTTAAGAATTACGGTAAGAGATAGCTTAGAGCGGGTGGATATCTTGATCCGTATTCAGTAAAATATCCCAACCATCTCCTACATAAATTAAATATACCGCCGTGTGACATATGAGGACATATGCGTATCCGAATTCAGAAAAGAGACGTATCCAACCAGCTGCATCCAGATTGTCCTTAAAGCGTTGGAAAGCGCGCGTTTCCATCCGATAAATTCGTGTATCCAACGCTACAGAAGCGAAAAACACGGGCACGCGTAAAGGATAAGTGGATCGATTCTGTCCACTTCCAACTATATATACCCATAAGAATGTACGTGGGTCGAACAGAAAGCCGTTGAGTGCTTCAAGTGGACCGAAATACCATAACTGATACTTCCGAATCTCATGTGATAATCATGTTAATTTGCAGATGATTATTTAACTTTGGTTTGGAGTTCCAATAAGAAATAGGACTGATTGACTAAGTTTAAGTGATAAGTCACAAACGGGCAAAATCAGCGGATAACTGGCTATCGAAGTTTCATCAACCCTAGAAGAGGCGTCACATCAAGAAAAAAGACTTCAACATCTTCCGTATCGACCTGAGTGAAACATAGAGCGGTCTTCCAGGAGCACGGACGTTTAAAGAATAGGGTAAGCGAGGTTAATTTGAGTGACAGCATTATTTTCAAACGTGTATTTATTCCACATAATTTGTACCCATTTGATTGTTCAAAGTGGCCACCTTGTGGTTAGGTGTTCGTATGAAACCGAAGTCATCTAGTTTGGAAGCTCTTATTTTTCGCGACGTACCAAATTATTTTCATTGAATCGGGGTAAGAACGGTTGTTTAAACCTTGACGTGGCACCCACCGTCACCGAGAGTATATGCCTACCGTGTTCTACAGGCAGAACGCGTGTGATTTTTCGCTAACTCAAAGGGATCTACTTATAGATATACTGCATGTAAGAACCGCGTTGCACACCTGAATAGACTTGTGGTAAACGATTTGGTCCAGCCACTCTTAAACATATATATATA